CCAGGCAAAACCTGCTTAGTACATGATGAGCTTTAGAAGCTTAGGATACACGAAAATAATAAAAAGGTTATTATCGTACCTATCAGCTTCTGAAATGATGCTAATTTAAAGAAGGAATGGAGCTATGCCACAGGAAGGCCACCTAACTGGTTCCCTACAAAAACTAGTGATGGTCGTCGTAATTTGTATGAGAATGAAAGTTATCATAAAAACAGCTTGTCTCGGTAATGATAAATTAGCAATTAAAACTAAAAATGTCAAATAGGAACTCATGGCAAAGGCTTTGCCAAATTTAAATATTTTTTTAATGTTAAGTTTCACCAATTTGAGCAGTCCCCGATGAATAATCACATCAATCACATATTTCTTATAAAAGCAGTCATTCAAAAATACATTAATTTAAGGGGAAATATAACCTCAAATGGGTTAGCAAGATCCTCCGTTACGCCGAAAGTATTGCAGCATTAATTTTATTATAACATACGACGCGCGGGGAAGTGGGGGCAAAATTAGAATTTGAGCTGACTTACTATATCCCCTTAAGATTACACTATTTGACAAAAATGCCACCCCAAAAATATAACGTCAAGTGCTGCACAAATACATTATTAAACTTTCACTGTACCTCACTTTACAGGTAAGTGAGTAAACACCATAGCAGGGTTCCAAAATACCTACTACTTCAATCCGCTATGATAGCCTAAACCAACATAACCGAATTTTTATTGTTTAAACTTTTTTTTAGTTTAGGTACTTAATAAGTATATTTTTACTTAATAAGTATGTTTATTTTTATTATAATATTCTCTGAACATATCGTATTTAATTTATTTTATATTCTAGGCCAAAAACATAGTGCAATTTTTGTATAAATAAAACAATCGATGACTTTTCAATTTAGTCAATCACTAACGCATATGTAAAATAAATGACATTTTTACAGCACAACCATAGTGACCGATATTTTTGTGTGAGTAAGTAGTACAGTGAATGGTAAATGCACACTGTGGTTTTAGAGATATGGTTTATAATTGATTGTATAGTACGTACTGATTTATAAAATGCGAGTGCGTATCTACTGATTTTACTGATCTGTATGTGTAGTACTTGGCGCGTGGTAGGGGCCAATTGGAGACACCGGGTTCCGATACATTTTCAACTACTGGGCATATCTCCTTCTTTCTTATATCTATGGTGAGACGTCTCCTAACTATGGAGTGTAGAAGTAAGGAGTACCAACTCCCATAGTAGAATAGTTGAAAAAGTGACCATCTGTAAGCAGTAAATAACAGTTCAAAAACTCTCCACAACAGCGCTGGAGTATCTACTGGGATGACATAAACTTAGCAGTTGTCGACGGTTTGAAGTAAACTAAAACTGCTTAGTAGCTCTAAAATCTAAAATAATTTTATTTATTAAATATAACCTCGAAAAAGTCGTCTATACCACTAATATTTTTCGGCACGTTCTTTAAAATTTACCCCATAGCTATAGTGGCGCTACCCTTATTTAACGGTTTTACTTTTTAATACACAGTCTGTGCTCCTTACTTCTACACTCCATACTCCTAACGATTCGTGTAACCGACGGAACGATAAACTAAAAGAAAGTTTAATAATTAGGATAAAGAAAATTGTAAATATTGTGGAAACTGGAAATATTGATGGTTAACTGAACTATCCAAAATCTGACTATTCCGCCAAGTTTAAAAACTTTATTAAACAAAATTTTGTATAAAAAGGGGTTATTATAATGTTAAGAAATTCACGGGTGATAATAACCCCTGGGAATGAGGTGAAGGCTATCATGCTATTTCTAATTTGTTTTGTGTTGTTAATTATTGTGTAATTTTAATCAATGTAAACTGTTAGTTTTCTTTAAAAATAAAGTCCCGCTGGGTTTCTTGACGGTTCTTTCCCGCACGACGGTATTTTCCGTATACTCATACGAGTGACTTTCAATAGATATCATTTATAATCTTTATTGAATAAAATAGTTTCTATATACTGGTATATAATAGTTAGTATATACTGGTATATAATTAAACCTCAACTGATCACAAAGATTTTGCAGCCGTCATTCTTTGTTAAATTATATTGTATATTAATTACATATCTGATGCGACAAGTCGTGAATGTACCATATACGCTGATGGCATTGTGGTTAAAGTAAGGACTAAAAAAATCAATATATAATCACGAATTGGACACAACACAACATATAGGAACCAACTATTTTAACAAAGCAATAACATCGAACCATCCGAAGATCGTACTGAATATAATAATAATGTCATCCAGACCAAATTTCGGTCTCGGCGGCCAGCTTCATCGGAGACTAGCCATGTATATCATGCGGGAGTCAGATGTGACAGTAAATCGACACGACCGGAGAGATATCAGGCGCAGGAGCAACGGCTTTACTTGCTTTCCAAGCCACGGGGGTGAGACACCACTAACTTCCTGACTCCGTGCAGCTACTGAGAAGTTCTTGATAAAAAGCTCAATAACTGATTCTTTTTGGCTCGACCGAGGATTCGAACCCGGAGTCTCATGATGAGCAATCGCATTATTTCAACCACTATACCAACAAGGCGGTTAATTTCGTGCGAAAAATCTCTATCATATCGTGCATATTAAATTACACACATTATGATAGAGACCTATGTCTAATATTTTTATAGGTGGTGGCGCTCCCGTTCTACGTATCTTTTTACGTGGTAGAGCCTTGCTGCAGTTATATGAGTAGTATAGTTGTAGCACGAATGGGTCGGCTTGACCGGGGAAAGACCACGCTCTCACAGAATACCAGCGTAAAATAACAGTTCAACGCTGCTGTGCTTAGTGTGGTGATACAGTGTAGAGAAACGGAGACCCTTTTCACTGGAAACGAGCCATTCCATCTTAATCCTCACGGGTGACAACGCATCTGCATTTTGATTCCTAATCGAGAACAGATGTAGATGTCTATGGGCCACAGCAACCACTTACCATCAGGTGGACTGTGTGCTCGTTTGTCACCCTATCCTATAAAAAAAGATTCATCGGTTTGGGTTATTTCTGTCGCACAAATAGTAGCAGCCGGCACTTTGTGTTCCTGTTTGTAAGGTATAATTACAGGCTCTGAGGAATTCCATCTTCGTCCTCAGCCGTGACAACGCATCTCTATACTTCCTTGTTTGAAGTTGACAGCAAAGATCCATAGACTGCTGCAGCCACCGGGCATCAACGTCAAAGGTGCAAGATGACTCATAATGTCATTGTCATCCGATTTAAAAAAAAATAACGGTGAACCTTAATATAAAGTTAAAGTTACAGCCTATATACGTCCCACTCAATGTTGCCACACATACTGTCATTACAATAGATTTGCCGTATTTTCACGCCGTCAACTGAATACCGTATTTTATGACACAGAGACACAGTATAATATTTTATTTTTTAACAAAAAATAAAATTTCATTTTATAATGAATGCTACTCATGAAAAATATCGTAAATAAAGACAATAGGGTAGTCATGGATTCCCCCGTATTGGCCGTAGCATTGAGGTTAGTATTATTCAGGTAAATGAAGTTGGATATGCCATAGTGTAGTTTTAATGTTCTATTATGTGTCCAATGTTATATTAGATCTTATTTAGTATATTCATTTTTTCAATGTATTTTGATTTTGTTTGTGCGTAATTCAATTATACCTTTGTTATTGCCCCGATGCTGGAATAGATTTCGCTATCACAGTATCTGATTTTATTTTATTTTTATTTTTTTATTTATATGGCTTACTAACAGTCAACTTACACAATAAAAATCTTAAATAACAGAAAATTTTCTTAAGCTAAGTGTAGTGACTACTTATTAGTATACATCGGGTTATGCATTATTTGCTTTTTAACTTTAATAACAGCATTAAGTAACGGGTTTTGTGACCCCCCTTTTTAAACTATATTTGTGCTTACTTACATCGCATGCATTATAACTTTTTATAATTTAAGTTAATATGAATTTTAAAAGAACATTTTCATTCGTATAGTAATATAAAAACACAAGCTGCACAGGATGTTAAGGGTAAGTCAGCTCAAATTCTAATTTCGTCCCCACTTGCCCGCGCGACGTACCTTGCTAGTTACCGACATGTTTGTAATCACTAATACTGTAAGTAGAAAGGTCGTAAGACACTTATTTCATTAGGTTTATCATATTTATGCTTGTTTCTTAACGCCAAGCCAGTCGCTTCTTATTTACGGTTATTTCCCATTTTAATTTTACGTCGTCCTGTTGCGTAATGTATATTCTGATCGTAAGCGACACAACCTCCCCCTTCAAAGGCCGAAGCGAAGTGACCGGGCGGCAGGAATCACGCTTCAAGAGGCCGATAGTTTAGGTAATTTCTTTTTTACAGTGAAATAATGGTATTTTAAAAAAAGTAAATAACATAAGCACTGCTTTATAGTTAGTTCAGTTAGTATGCAAAGTTTCATGATCTTATTTAAAGTATTTTATGAATAACAGTGGTTTATTGTTTATTTTGGAGGTAACTTTGGATTTTTTTCTATCGAGAAAATTTTACGAAATCGTGTTTTCGTCTAACATAATCCTTAACATTATTCCTCAACTTTACCATATATTTATTTAACGAAGGATCTTGCTAAGCCATTTGAGATTATATTTCCCCTTAAGTACTAGGACTAGTAATACTGTCAACAATCTTTTTACGGACACCGTAAGCGGAATCAAAATTTACATCAACTGTCTTTAATGCTATTTAGCAGCTTACTCAGTCTGGGTAATGGAGAGTTGGGGTCAAAAACGGTTCGGCGGGTTGGAGGCTTCGGTGGAGCTACCGGACGACGCGGATATCTTGAAGGAACGTTAAATTCAAATGCGTTTAGTAACTGTGGTGTGTGATTTCAGCATATACTGCTCTACATCTCCCAAAACAAAATGTCTAGGCAAAAACTTACGATTAATAATTTATCGTGATATTATATACCTATTCTCAGATATGGCTACCTCAGCATATGTATGCGAGTCGTACCGAGGAACGACACTGATGGCTGGGTGTTCCGGGAGCCTACCGTCAGCGTATTCCGGGACGTAGAACGCTTTGCCGTCGCGCCGAAGATCCGTCAGCCCAAAACACTCTTCGACGGTGACTTCCATATGGAGTTCTGCGATAACTTAAAGCAGTTGTTGCAGGCGTACTTCAGGGATTTTATTTTTGAGAGGTGAGATAAGAGATACAAATATATAATTTTTAATTTATCAACATAACTTATATTATACATGGTTATTTAGCAATGACCGCCTAAATTTGCAGAGAAGGTTCGGAATGAAAAATCTCAAGCAAGGAAGTGTCCGCCGCGCTGCTACAATGCGTATTGGAGAGCTTTACATATCTTTGAAACCTTTTTTTTTCTTATTTCTCAAACATGAAGATTTTCTCACGATGTTTTTCTTCACCGCCGAGCACGTGGTAAATCAGCACTTAAAATTGCAATTAACAATTTCATTGGTGCCGGCGTGGATCGAACCCGGATTACTCGCATACTGTAAAATTTACTGCGAAAGCTTAGCCCTCAAGCTACCATGGCTCAAAATATGTTTCGGCTGAAAGCCGAACTACGGACGCACCTAAGTTCAGCCAAGCACAAGCCCCACATGCGGCCTAATCCTAGTGCGGCTGGTGTAATTGACTTTTATGAATAATTTATAAATAATATAAATGTTCACTGTTTTACCTGCAGTTGTACAACACAACAACGAGAGTAGGCGCTGATATTAATATGTGCTTTCGTATTTTTGACAAAATTAACAAAAGTCATTTTAATTTTCATATGAACTTTAATAAACCTAGTTTAACCTGAAAGAAAACGCACTGCAGCTTTCAGCTGTGACATATTATTTACAATATTAAAATTTAATGTATTTAAAAGTAAGTTATCTGTACCTTTTCATTTTTTTATAGGATAGGGTGACAAACGAGCACGCAATCCACCTCATCTATCCATCCTCGATTACGAATCAAAATGCAGATGCGTTGTCACCCCTGAGGACCAAGATGGAATGCCTCGTTTCCAGTGAAAATGGTTTCCGGTTCTCTACATTCACCGTACGAAACACAGCAGCATTAAGCTTCTATTTTATGCTGGTATTCTGTGAGAGCGTGGTCCTTCCCCGGTCGAGCCGACCCATTCGTGCTGCAACTGTAATACAACCACGTAAAAAAAAAACAAAATTCTTTCTTTAGGGCCCATTATTATACACTACTGAACATGTACCTCCATCATAGTGTTATTATTTTATTTTTAAAACATTTACTATATTTAGGTTGGAGCGACCATGGCGCGCTTTCACTGCTGGCTGGCCGACTGACATCATGGCGAGGAACTTGGGGATCAATTCTTCATTCATTACCGGTGACCACTGTTATGTTCTCGTGAGAGTATCCAGGTATTAATAGGAATCAACATTTTCTTATTCCCATCCAATGGGATCCAATGGCTAATTTATAATAATGCCCTGCTGTGTAATTTTCAATTTTTTCTTCGCTTGAATTATAATAGTAATTCTGTTACTCGTGCTACAACTAATTTTTAAAGTTTCATACCCAAGCGTGTAACTGAGCCCTGATAACGTCACCCGACCGTAGGTCACGGATCTCTATCTCGTGGTCGGATTGAGTTTAGGACCTAAGGAATGAAAATTATGTGTAATATGTTGACCCAAAACCGAACTAGAAAATTAAATTACTTTTAGGGGAGGGAAGATTTCATTATACTTGAAGTTTTATAAATTTATTTTCTTACCCTAGCATATGAAGTGTCATAGCGTATAGAGCTTTAGATATCATTAAGTAGAGTACAAATATGATTTTTATCCTTTTTTTACTTCGAAAATAAAATATTGTTGTCCATGTTGGCCATAGCCGTCTAAGTTTTCAGTTTTAAACCGCTTTTGTTACGAGGTCGGTCTCAATTAAACTATATAGGAATTTCAAATATACCGGCACCAAAGAAAAAATTAATTGTTATTGCAATTTTAAGTGCTGATTTACCATGTGCTTGGCGGTTAAGGAAAGAAACCTGCATGTCTGAGAAATAAAAAAATATATTTCGAAGACATGTGAAGTTCGCCAACACGCATTGGGGCAGATTAAATGGTTTTGAATATATACCTTTAAGGGCGTAAGTTAGGTACGTTTTGAGCATTTTATTTTCAACCCCCGACGACGAAAACTGAGAATTGGTATATTTATATGTTTAGCGTGTGTATCTGTGTGTGTGTGTATCCGTGGTATGTGTGTATCTTTGTATGTGTGTGTGTATATGTCTGTGGCATCGTAGCGCCCAAACAGATGAATCGATTTTTATTTAGTTTTTTTAGTTGATAGTTGACTTGATCGAGAGTGTTGATAGCTATGATTCAAGAAAATCTTTTAGCCATTTGAAGATCATAGGCTCTTATCGTTTAAGGGATTTTTAATGATTAATTATATATTTAGATATTTTATAGATTGTTTGTTTAATTTGTAAATTTGTAAATGAAATTAAAAGCGTTGTGTGTTGGCAACTTAAGGGAATCCACCCCAAATTTTACCTAGGTATCATGAGTATCGTAAAGAGTCGACTTCGGTACATAACAATCTTTCTATTATCCGATAGATGGCATTATAACCATATGCAAGAGTTTTAAATATTTGAAAGTGTATGTCATGTGAAGTGTAGAGGTAATGTCACTAAAATGAGTAAGAAAAACAGCTTTACACAAAAAAGAGTATATATAATAATATCAGACTTTAAAAACTTAAATGACACGCATTGATTATGAGTTGTAATATCTTCTTAGTAAGAATACTAGGTCATAATATTCTCTATAGAGTCCTGAAATTATTATATTGTCAACGGTTGTTATTACATCTGCACATTTCAGAATATTCATACGCGTAGAAGTGAGTAAAAACTCAATTATAATAATATTTCATAGAACATATAAATATATACAGTTCAAGCTACTATAACCTTAGATTATTTACATGTAGCTATGAAGTGTTAAAATTTTTATACTGGCAAAGCTATAAAAATGATAAAAATGCTTTTTTGATTCTATAATGTTTAAATGTTTTAATTAATTGCGTTTGTTTTTCATATTTTACAATTAATTTAATTATATTGTAGTTGGAGTGTAGTGATCTAGTAGTGCAAATTGATCTCATTTTGAAAATATAAACAATGTGGTATTATTTTCTTGGAATAAATAAAAAAAATCTAAATACAGGTCAATGTCCGAAAGTCAGTTTTGATGCTTGCCAAGCGTGACAGCATATTATTAGACCTACTTTGTCGGAGGCCGATGTCCAAGAGTCCTACAGGGACTCCTAACGTTTAAATGACGATGAAGATGTAGGAAATAGAATACATGGAGTGGTTATTTATTCAAAAAAAAAATAACCACTCCATACTATATAGTGGTTTTTCTATACAGTGGGCAATCGAGCATGCGTCTCACTAGAGTAATTCTTACCTTACTTTACCTTAGATCTAATCTTATTACCTTTATTCAATCGGATGATAAGTAGTGATGTGTTTATGATGACCTAATCATCTTCACTCTCATTCCAGGTTTCGCGAAACGGGCAAATTAAACGACTTACCGCCGAACATAGCTGTAGAAGACGTAGTGTACGAAGCCATCCAGGAGTCCACAATCGGCGATACCGTGTCCATTGCTGACTTCATAAGGAAATACGGCTCACACTACATTGCATCGTACATCACTGGTAACTCATTGTACCAGGTAAGAATGGAACCTATTGTTGTTTTGTTAAGAACGTCATCGATCGATTACACCAGCTCCTATGTTACCGTTACCACCTATTGAAGTCCGCTGCTGCGGATTGCCTGATAGGAGTTATATTAGCCACAGTTTCCACGTTGAGCAAGCGGGTTGGCACAGCAGTTTTATTATTATTTTAGTCGTCATTAGGGCGACGCAGTGCCCATCTCCTGATTTGTTTCCCGTGGGGTAGTGGATATCCTTATACCGCCACTACAGGGTATCCTATGTTACGCTTATACAACATGTAAAAAAAACCTGTAGTTCCCGTTAAGTGCGTTATCAGAATTAGTATTCAAATGTATAGAAATAACTTTTTTTAGAAACCTCGATCGTATTTTTTTTAAATAAATTTAATTTAAATAAATTTTAATTTGGAAATTGTATATCGTTTTATTACTCTGGATTGTCCGGGGAGTAAAAGGATTGTCCGCTTTGCCGATGCGCGTGTCAGTTAGAGAAAAAATAAAATAACATAAAATTAGCAAATAATTTTTTAATTAAATAATTGAAAAAAAATTATGGTACCGAGTTTTTGAAAAAAAGTTATTTCTATACGTTAGAATAGTGATTCTGATAACGCACTTAATGGGAACCACAGGGTTTTTGTTACATATTGTTTTACGTGTGTAGGGTATTACGGATTTATTTACTTTTAATCCATAATAAAGGTAGTTGATTGTGTTACAATATCCACTTCCCCATATCGCCCCGTGAGTGTCGTAATAGGCGACAGAGGGACACAAATCGGTACAGTCTTCGTAACAACAACTAAACATTAAAAACTTAGGTTGCTTTCTCCATGAGGCAACCTAATGGGAGAACTTTGTTCAGCAGTGGGCTTTTATAAGCTATAACGGTGATGTTTTTTTATAGAATAAGGGTGACAAACGAGCACACAGTTCAGCTGATGGTAAGTGGATGCTGTGGCCCATAGATATCTACATTTGTCTCCAATTAAGAATCAAAATGCAAATGCGTTGCCAGCCCTGAGGACAGATGGAATGCCGTTTAAATGTCCGGAGTAGAGACATTCATCATACGAAACACAGCAGCATTAAGTTGCTATTTTAGGTTGGTATCCTGTGAGAGCGTGGTCCTTCCCGGTCAAGCCGACCCATTCGTGCTGCAACCACAATATAGCTGAAGCATGGCTCTACCACGTAAAAAATTGGCAGATGGTGGAAAAATGAGACAATTCCGTACATATGTCTCCGGGGCTAACTTCAGAATCTGAGTATATCAGAAGACCGAGCTAGCTTGTTATCTTGACTGAAATAAATTTAAGTAACTCATCATCAGAAAATGGAACATACAAAAATACAGTCGAATTGTCGACCTTCACCTTTTTTCAGTCAGTGTATAATTGGTATGTTATACACATGTTCAATTAACATAGAGTAACGCTGCAGCTATATTATGGTTGTATCACGAATGGGTCGGCTTGACCGGGGTAGAACCAGCGTAAAATAGCAGCTTAATGCTACTGCGTTTCGTATGGCGAGTGTAGAGAACCGGAGGCCTTTTTAACTGGAGATGGGGCATTCTATCTTAGTTCTAAGGGATGATAACGCATCTTCATTTTGCTTCATAATCAAGGATAAATGTAGATATCTATGGACCACACCATCCACTTATCATCGGGTGGACTGTGAGTCACCCTTATTCTATAACAAGAATTATAAGCACACAAAATTTAATTGACAGGTAAACCACTTATTAACGCGATCGACATCTTATACAATAACAAATCGTTTCAATATTTTTAATCTAACACGTTTGACTCATAAATATCGAGAAATGTTTTAGTTCACATAGCGTGCAGCGTGTGTCGTCACGTGATAAGCTAGAACTAACGGAAACGTGATATAAGTTTACAGAGGAACGTGAACTGTTTGCTAAACAACCCGATATAATCCATTATATCGTTAGTTTACCTCACTACACGGTCGTCTTTATCGGTTTACAGAATTAAATACTCAGGTCACAGTTATAATAATTAAATGCTAATACAAAAATAGTTATTTTTATCGGTTGATTTTGCTCTTCATTCCATATTATGTTTATATTCGAAAATTGTATCTAGATGGCGCTACATGATGAAGAACTGTATAACATATATTCTTTATTTACATATATTCTTTACTAAATAAAAATAAATAATTTATTCTTGTTATTATTAATACTCTATATTCCGATATGTGGCGTATAAGTATAGTTATAACTTATAAAGCAACAATATGCTACATACTTTTAGGCAATCTTATAAACAAACAGGTATTATACGTCTACATTTTAATTCTTAATCGATGCCATGAAAGAAAGTGGCGGAAAATATTTAATAAAATAATGCATTTGATTAAAAAAAAACCTTTGATCAACTTGACCTCTATTATATTTGCCGTTATGTGTATCATCTATGGCTATTTAATTAGATTATTAAGTATGTCATTGTGTTATTGATATGGAGACCCTTTGAAAACTGCAACTTAAAGGAACAAGGTGTGGTTATGACAAAAAAAAAAGTGATTTTAGAGAAAATCTATTAATTAGCTTAGTTTGTTATTAGCATACATGCACGCCCATTTTCTATTTTTAATTATTTTTAATGTTTGCGTAATCATTTTATCAGGTGTTTGTGTTCTCGCGAGGAGTGTACTCGAGGATTAAGGAGCGTGTGAAGTCGCAAGGTGTCAAAGATATACCACCAACAGAAATGAGTAACTTCTTCTCCCCGTTCTTTGCCGAACATGTTGGAGCGGTCAAGGTTTGAATCGATCAATAATATGGCTTGTTTCTATATGGACTTATTTAAAATGTAACTTATTTAATTTTAGATTTGAAAAACACTGCAAGTTCCAGAAAATTGCAATATAATTTTACAGTAATATTACTATACACTGAAGTCTATCGTAATCTAAAAAATCAATATAAACATATAGGAACAGGCCATAAACTTTCAAATCATCCAAAAGGCATGCGCTAAGAATTCAGGAATAATTCTTCACATCGAACTTGGCACTTTCACTTTACATCGAGCATCTATGTCCTTTTCTACTGATTTGTATTTTTGAGCATGTGAATTTTCATTATCAGTGACATTTCTTATGAACATTGGGCGTCATTGTAAAAATTATTTTGTAAGTAGTATTGTTTTACAAATTGTGCTCAAAACTACGAGCATTTAATATTTTGAAAATTGAAGGTTTCCGTAACTAACGTTTATAATTAAAAAAATTACACGTAAAATTAAAAAAATCAATCAATTTATTATATTGGCCAATAATGTCGACCTGTTTAAAATCAACTGAGAGCATTTAAGCAGTTACAAGAGCAAAAAAAAAACATTTTTAAAAAAAAATTATACCTTTAAAGTTTTGTTGACGATTTAAATTTTGGCCGCATGTTTCTATAATTTTTTAAAGATATCTAAGAGTACACTCACGCAAATTTTATCAAAATAAAATAAATTTGTGAAAATTGTGTCTGCTCTCACCAGGTGTTTGTATTCTCTAGAACTGCATACTCTATGATCAAAGAAAGATTAAAAAGCAAGGGAGTAGCTGATATTACTGCTAAGGAGTTAGAAGGATACTTCTCGCCATGGCATGCTAAACATATAGGCCAAATAAAGGTAACACGTACATAACATAAAAGTAACTTTTTGCATAATGTTATTTTTGTAATGCTGATAGCTTAAAATGAAGATGACAGTTGACAGTTTCCCGCCTTTATTACGAAAAAAATTGCACGTTTTCCAGTCTTATCATGTTAATATGTCACTCATTACCATCACCTTTCAATTGCCATAGTCATATATATCATCTATTTGTTTGTAAAATACATATAACTTGTTTGTAACCTTCTAACCGTTTCCACTTTTTCACTTCTGCATTTTAACGTTATTGTTTAAATTATATTTCATCATAAATCGAAAAAAAAAACTCCACATTTTTAATCTAAACTGATAATACACTTTTACTTTCAAACAAGGTAATGGCAAATAAAACTAAAAACATGGTACTCTTTCTCAGGTCGCAAGCGGAAACAAAACAGTGGAAAGCTGGGCCATGAAACGCCTTCGAGTCCACTACTATATTTTCTCCTACCCCAGCCTCTTAAAACTACACGGAGAACCATCACTGCTGAGGAATTTAGACACGCTTTTAGGAAACGAAGCGTTATTACAGTTAGAGTTAAAGACATTATCTCCAGTGTTTAAAGACCCGCAAAAGAAAAAGTGGTTCGAGGAAGTTATAGACAATTATTTAAAATTATGGGAGAGTAATATGTGATCAAGTGTATTGAATGCTTTTTATAAAAGTAAATTGCGTATATATAAAAAAAATAGAGCGACGTTTTGATATTGGACAAGTTTTTAGAAAGTTTTAATAAAAATATAGTCCAATGATGTAATAAGTGATGCTTCGAAAAATATTTCAGATAAGTTTAAAAAAACAACGACAAATAATATAGGGATTTGGTAGTATTGATGATACGTCACTGACATTTAAAATTAAAACTCTATCAAAATTTTGTATAATTAGGTGTATCATTTTGTAGACCTAAGTGTTTTTTGTTTTTTGTTTTAATGACTTAATTTGCAGCAAACTCGATTCATTAAATCTGGATGTCCACTTTGTCAATTATTACCAATATTTATTTATTTATTGTATGGAATATTATAGTGAATGTATTTAAAATAATTGTAGTGCAAAAATGTGATCGTACATTTAAGGTATACAATGAAAATCTACTTATTTTCTAGATTAAGATGAAAGTGAGGTATTTTTGTAAATATTTAATTGTTGCCTTTACAAATAGGATAATCATCTTTACTATATCATCATTCATGCCTTTTATTGTATAAAGACAATTTTCGCATAAATGTATTTTGGAACTACGAATTCAACTATATACATATGCATATTTCACTGAAACTGAAATTAAAAAAGCAGCAGTAAATAATTGAAAACTTTGTGAAAAAGTTTTCTTTCAAGTTTAAATTATTTATGTGATTTATTGGGTCTTTTTTGCTTTATGTATGTTTAAAAGAGAGTTGTTGCTGATGCTCATTTTCTTGGTTAAAAATCTGCTGATCCTTATAATGAAATACTATTGAAATGCAAGTAAAGCTGACAAATTACTACAAATTTAATAAAAGCGATTCTCAGCAATAAAAAATATATATCCCAAAAAAATTGATGCATTCTGCAGGTAAAACTGACAAATTTTTAGACACTTTTCAGCGTTGATGCTGATCTTGAAATCTATGACTCTATTTTGATATTCACCATCACAATTCACAATTCAAAATTAATTTCAATTCGACTTTTTTAAATTTTTAGTTAGCAATAACTTATATAATCTTGTGTGATTTTAAAGTACGATCAAAATCGGCAAAATGAAAAAGTGCCTTAATAATTATTGATATGAAAACATAAGACAATAAGATATAATTAATTATTTTATATACTTTAAAGAGAGCTATTTTAATATTGTGCAATAATAAAGTTTCTGTTAGATTCGCATACAAATTAATGTGTGATCAAAATTGAGAATGCATTTATATTTTAGTATTAATTGCAATAAAATGTAGACAGACGGTGTACATATTTGAAGGAACATGTTTAGATGAAATAAAATTGTTTTATGATTGAAAATAAAATGTTTCATTTTTAGCAATAATTCGATCTCAAGATACGTCTATAGAAGCAATGTTTACAAAACTATTTTTAATTACACACGTAATTTCAGTTATTTGAAGGGATTTTCCGTCATTAGTCTCCCTCGTAGCCACCGCCGCATTTGTCAACATAGCGCACCAGGTCATCGATATATAGTACGTAGCACTGACCTCTATATATACAAGTACTGGAACCAAGTCGCCAACAACAGATGATTATCAAATGTTCATTAATTAACAGGATTCCAACAGAACCTAGACTTAAATTATGGCTTAAAAGCATAAATATTGTGAATTGGCGTCCGAAACAAAATGACCATATTTGTTCCAAACATTTCACAGACGATTGTTTTATTAGACATGAGAACTGCACCACTTTGAAAAAATGCAGTATACCGACAATATTTTCTGGTAGTATCAGTACCAGTAAGTATAAAAGTATTAGATTATTATTTGGAATATTTTTTTATTTCTTCTATCCTCATTTTTCAGGAAACTCAAGGGCCATAGCCAAGTGTCGAAAGGTCGCCTGTTGATGTCGAGCCACGTTGGATGTGTGTTAGTGGGCTGCGGCTGGAGGAGTACCACTGTAGTTGAGGTGGAGTAGTAAGGGAAGAGGAGTGTTGGTATGGCGATTGGCGATGCGCCACTAGACTATCTTTCGCGACTTTGGTGAGGCTGCACCACTTGATGTTTCCAAGTGCTCGTTTTTCCCTGGCTCCATTCACATATCGGGCTCGTGGAGTCCGTAGGGCAGGTGGAGTTAAAGGCCGCGAAGGGAAGGGAAGACAAAACAAAAGTCATGTGTAATGTCCATGTCACACCTATGCCGCTGGTTTTTGGGAGCACTTAGCTGAAGTTGTTGACGAGTATTTTTACTTGGGACAAATAGTCCGACTAGGTAAGTTCAACTTCGACCGACAGGTCAATCGACGGATTCAACTCGGCTGGGCAGAATTCGTGAGATTACAACACATCTTCTCGTCAGGAATACCTCAAAACTAGATTGTACAATCAGTCCGTGTTGCCAGTGATGACCTATGGATCTGAGACGAGGTCTTTCACTGCTGGCCGTATGAGGAAGCTCGAAGTCGCTCAGCGAGCTATGAAGAGGGCTATGCTCAGGGGTTCAAACTTAGGAATGAGGATATCTGCAGCTGAACCAGAGTGACCGACATCGACCAATGGATTAGTACGCTGAAGTGGAAATTGACCGGCCATATAGCTCGAAAAACCGAATACCGATGGGGAAAAAAGGTTATCGAGTGGCAGCCCCGTACCGGCAGGTGAAGTGTAGGACGTTCCCCCACTAGATGGAGTCAAAACCTGCTAAGACATGCAGGAAGTTCATGGATTCAGGTAGCTCAGGACCGTGCTTTGTGGCATTCCTTGGGGAGGCCTATTTTCAGCAGTGGATTTGTGAAGGGTTTTAATGATGATGAATGATAATGGCATTATATTAATATGATACATAAATAGAATAGACGTTACGGGTAGAGTCCATCTATCCATAGAGTCCATTCTATTTATTTAGGTATAGGTAGGGTATAGAATTTTTATCGATAAAATTTGATACACTGTCTTATCCCTATTATTAGTACCGTGGACGTGCACTTGTGCTGTCAGCGCCAAAATGGCGGAAATCAAATCGCTTCATCATGTCACGGTTTATAGCCAGTCCAGCGTACTTGTATATATAGAGGTCAGTGGTACGTAGTAAATATAACTCAATGCACCAGGTAAACAGGTTAATATTCAAAGAAAAGTTTATAAGCTGATTATAATGCCATCTATCGGTACGTAACTAATTCACTAGTAATTTAGAAAAAATTCAAAGGAAACTATATTTATGAACGCCATCTATATTTTAATGGTTGATATAATTAAGTTGCGCCATCTGTCGACAGGTAGAGTTACTAGACTTTACTTATTATAATGAGGTGTTTTATTTTAGTAGATATATATAATATAATTATTAAATAAAACGCGAAAAATTTATTTATATAATAGATACTTAAGGCTGTCGGCTGCCGCCACCACACGGCAGAATATATTCGCAAAACAAATATTCGATAAGCGAAATATCTAAATTATCTCCGCTTTAGTCCTAACTTATCGTAAAAAGAACAAAACGAGTCCATTGCCTGAATCAAATCTAATTGTTTTATCCATTGATTTATATAACCCTGGATCCGTAATAACCGCGCCAAAGCGTTGTCACTGCACATATGGCCACAGCCATATGCCTAGCTAACGTGAGTTCATTGTTCAATGTGACGCCGACAGAGTTGAGCCGCGACTAAAATGGGTAAATGTGTAGTGAAAGAATGCTATTCAAGGTCACAAAAACTTAATAAATCAAGCGGCATCACTTTCAACACATAATATTTAGTTCTTGTTTTCATATAAACGTAAAAAACCTCAAATAATTAAATAAAATTATCGAATATTGTCATTTAGGTTCAATGTTGCCACTTTTCCGCATTTGTGATTATCCTACATTAATGGGAGATTATATAATTAATTGAGTAAGTTAATTTGGTACCTCTGATTTTAAATATTTTGGAAATTATAATAAAAACTACGTTTTAACTTTCATACAAAATAATTAATTATTCTTATTTTAGTTTATTCATGAATTATCTATTAAATATATTTTATTACCTATTTTATACTAATAATTTTATATTATTTATAATTTCATATAAATTTTATATTAATTATATTTTATTAGATACCTATTTTATATTGTTTGATTTATTAGAACCATAAAAATACGTTTTATTTCATCATTATGTTTTCTATTCATCTGATAAGCTTTGTATCCCTTTTTTTCTAAGGGGACGTAATAAAAATTTTAAAATAAAATATACTTTTTTTAATATAAAAACAATTAACTGCAGCTTAAAAAACTCATTTTTATTGCGTATTTTAGGTAAAATTTCATATAGTAAGCCACACCAACCCGCCATTGCATGTTTGTGTGTCTATCTTTATCTAATCTTACGACGACGATATTGTTTTCGCAACTTGTGTAAGTGAGATAGATATATGTTTACTTAAAATTTTTATTAGTTTCAAAGCTACGTCGTCGCGTTTGGATAGTGGTTACACTTTTTTCGACGCGCGGTAATGTGGTTTGCTCCTCTAGTGTTGTATAACTCAATGGTTTTATCGCAAAAGTAAATACTTCTGATAGTGTGTCATTCAACTTCTTAAAAAATCTAATTACTTCATGTCGTAAGCAGATGTTTTTATGACACTGTTTACACTGTTTAATGAGATCTAAAAGCGAAATAAAAATTAGGTTAAATTTCAGTCTTTACTTAACACTGAATTAACCAAGCAAGTAATAATCAAGAGATTTGTCTTTCGTACTTCGTGTGCCTTTAAACATATTCTCACATTCCACGGCTGAACTTGTGTCTCTCCCATTGCACGAAAGATTCGCCTTAATGGTCACATTTGGCAGACGGTATGAAGATCGTAGTACATTTAGAGATTTAGACTCTGCTACCCATGGGCGGACTGTGAATTTGTGGGACCCTGGGCTAACACTACTTGAGGGCCTACCAAATAAATCAAACTAATAAAAAAACTGTTTTCTGT